GTAAGAGTTTAAGCTCATGTACTTTTAAGATTCTGACTAGCTTTTTTAAGCTCATCCCATCGAGATTTTTCGATGTTCTGAGCGTTGTAACCTGTGGTCTCCACTGTTTGGGAAGACTTCAAAGAATTTTATCAATATGATAGAAGTTGTTGTAAGACTTCCCCATAGATTGACATGTAGAGACCGAGAGGTTTTGAGGTTGACACGTACAGATGTGTCTAGGTCGAACAAGATCGAGATAGGTTTAGGTCAACTGGCCAAGATATGGTTGATGTTGAACAAGATCGAGGTGTGTTGAGGTCGAACAAGGCTGAGATATGATTGAGGTCAAACAAGACTAAGATATGGATAAGATCGAATAAGTCGATATTGCAAAAAAGTCTTTTTGCATTGCCATTAGACAGTTACTTAGTTTTAGTAAGTACAAATCGTGTATGAAATTTTGAATAATTATTAAAGTTTAAACAAAAAGAAAATTTTGAAAAGATTTATTAATCAAAATCCGATAATTGTTTTTAAAAATTTAATTTTTATTTAAATTTTAATAATTATTTAATTTATTTAATATTTTTAATATAATTTAATATATTAATATTTTAATTAATATAATTTATTTATATTCCCATAAATAATTATTTTTAAATTTTGTTTGTTATTAATTTTAATAATTATTTAATTTAATTTAATATTTTAATATAATTTAATATATTTAAATATATTAAATATTTTATTTAATATAATTTTATTTTTATTGTTATTGTTTATTTTATCTTTATATTTTTAATATAACTATTATTATAATATAAATCATATTTTAATAATGGTTTAATGTCTCTGTAGGTCCTTATTTTGGTCCGGAATCTCAATTTAGTCCTCTTTCTTTTTGGCGTATCAATTGGATCCTTGTTTTTGTAAAATTGGAGCAATTAGAGACCTGTCATCAAATTCAACAAATGCCCATTTAATTGTGCATCAAGTGGCACGAAGAGTGTTTTCACTAGTAACAATGTGCGTTACGTGGCATGGGGAGTGTTTTAACTATAACACGTGGAATTAAAAAAGAATTTTGTATTAAAAAATATGAAAGCACATATGTTAAATGAGCTTTTGGGAAAGGGCACAGGGGGGAACTTATTACGATTCCCACCTCAATCATCCGTGTTCCCCTTCTCCTTCTCATACACCACCAGAACAGAACATGAATAGAAGTGATAGAGTCTGAACCTGAAACCACGCCTTCAGCTCCGCCAACCGCTCCAAGACGGCGTCGAAAACCTCCGTCGCAAAGTCGCAATCGGGGTCGAAATGGGAATCGTCAGAGTTGGAGGAGGAGACGAATTTGCGGAGGACCAGGGCGACACCCTCGGCGAAGAGAGTCTGGAGGAAGGTTCTGGAAGGTTCCCAATAGGAGAGGGAGTCCTTGAAGCCGGTGAGTCGGAAGCCGAGGGGGATGATTGAGGTGGCTCTGTCTTTGCTGAGGCATTTGGCGATGTAGTCTTCAAAGTGACCGAGGTGCCAGGTTCGGGAGCCGATTTTGACGTCCATGACAGAGGGTTTGGTGTAGGGGGCGATGAGGTCCTAGAGGAGAAGGTGGGTGTGGGGGTCGAAGCCGTCAGAGGCGGGGACGACGGCGGTGCCGTGGAATGCCAGGAAGAAGGGAAGGATGGAGGGTGGGACGGCAAGGGAGGTGTAGAAGGAGAGCTCGGCGGAGCCCTTGTCGTGTTCCTGCAGTGGCGTGTAGAACTTTCCAGAATCGTCCACCAGCGGACCCAGAACGTCGTTCTTTGCCATGTGACCCGCCACCTAGTGCTCCCACACCTTCAACATTTTCACAATTCCGAAACGGAGAAGAGAGGTATGAGGAAGAAAACACCCACCACAATACAACAAATCAACAAAACAAATTATACTGTCTGGGGAAGTAGAAAAAGGTTGGAGGAGGAGAAGTAGAAACATTGATCAGTTCGGTCTGATTGGGGAAGAAAACAAAATTGGATTGATGTGTGGAGGGGTTCGTGTTTAAATGGAGCAAGACGTGAGAGAAGTACTGGGAATAGGTTTGGCTTTCGGAAAGAAAAAGAAATTTAATTAGAAAGAAGGAGAGTTGGAGAGAGGTGCAGGCCGTAAATTGACTAGAATGCTAAAATTCTTTGTGGAGAAGAGAAATAGGAAATGATTATCTAGTATTGGGTGGGCCCCATGTGTAGATAAAGTAATTTAGGTTTTAGAAGGGTAGGATACTAGGTTGCAGTAGAAAAAGGATGGAATAATAATATTTTATAGCTTTCATATTTTTTAATACAAAATTTCTTTTTAATTCCACGTGTTATTAGCAAAAACACTTTTTGTGCCCACGTAATGCATAATTAAACGGCCGTTTGTTGAATTTGTTGGCATGTCTCTAATTGCTCCAATTTTACAAAAATAAGGATCCAATTGAGACGTCAAAAAGAAATGGGACTTAATTAAGATTCCGGACCAAAATAAGGACCTATAGAGACATTAAACCTTTAATAATTATTAAAATATAAAATTATATTAAATAATATTTAAATTTGAAATTTAATTATTATTATGGTAATGTAGAGTGTTTTTAACAAGAAATAGACGAAAATGAAACACTAGTACAATAAGAGGAAATGACACCGGTTGCTTTTGCTTATAGACACCGGTTCTACAACCGAGGCATATACAGACGAGGTAAAAAAGGTAGATTTTATGCCTCGGTTATGAACCGAGTCAAAAAGAATAGGATTATGTCTCGGTTTTGTTCGTAACCGAGGCAGTAACCCCTTTTTTTTTATTTTTTTCAGTCTGGCCAACAGCCCCTCTAGCGTCCCTCTCCATGATGGCTTCACAGTTCTTACCAATCCCTCCCTCCACATAAGGTAAGCAATCACCAGAGATGTAGACCGAGACACCCCTTGACAACAGTGCACAAACACCCTCCCACCTTGTTCCCTAAGGTCCTCAAAGTAGTCAAACACATCATACAAGATACTAGTAATGTCCTCAAAGGGACTATCTTGCAGCCACAAAGTCCTGTACACAAAATCAACCTTAAATTATACAGGACACACAAACCCCACACAATTCAACACATGAGTGAAACCATTATGGAAGACAAATCAAGTTTCAACCTTTCACCATTGCNATTGGTGCTCGGTCTTAACTGAGTTCTACTTTTGTGGATCCTTAGTTAATGACCGATCGGTCTTGTATTGATATTCAAGTGAATATAGTAGTCGGTCTAGACATAACATTTGATCGTAAATAGCGTTCGGTCTATCATAGGCTTTAATTGTTATTGACCGCTCGATCATGTACTGTCTTAGTAGTGCTCGATTCGTTACTAGCACTAGGTCTCAGAATTAGTACTCAGTCTTGTTCTTGTATCTTATTTCAATAGTGTTCGGCTTGAGCCAATAGTGTTCGGCCTAAGCCAATGACGTTTAGTCTACGAAAATAGTGTTCGTTCTAAATTTCAAGTGTTCGGTTTTAGCTTTAGAATTCGGTTGTTCTGGCGTTCAACTTCAAAGACATTCGACTCATGCATGAATTTTACTCTTTACATGACCGTTCGGTCATGTTCACATATGGGGAGTGTTCTTCCGTCCGGTCTTGTTCATAGGTTATGTTTATCTTTTTCGTTCGGTCGTACTCGGAGTTGTGTTGTTGACGTTCAATTTTCTTCTATGAATGAATATTTAGTCTTTAAATGCTATTGTCGTTGTTTGACTTTGATGGGTTGAGATAGTTGTATTGATCTACTGCGTATGGGAAAATTATATTGATATTTCAACAAGGCATATGTTTCAAGTAATGTGGAAGAGAATTCCAAGGAAGAATGTCTCAGTGAAAAGTGTATTGAAGTGGTTAATGTCTTAGTGAAAAGTGTATCAAAATGGTGTTATAGTATGAATATGGATAGTGAAATTCGCGGAGTTCATCCTGATATTCTGATGATTACCAATTCTCAAGTAGAGATGGGTAAGACATTGTGTGAGAATGGCAGGAAGTCCTAGCCCATAGGTTCTTGGGTGAGTTATAACGGACTAACCTTAGGTGGCAGCTGATGGTTTTCCAGTTACTACACCACCCGAGTGCATGAACGACCTCAAGCTACATATTCATACAATCAGGATGGTCAAGTCATGTGTTCAGTTCATGCATAAAGTATAGTTTTCAGTTGTATATGCTTACCTATATTTGTTGTGGTATGTTGTAGTGTTTGGTTCTGCATTGGTTATAATTGTACGAAATGTATGTATGTTTGCACAATTAAATTATATTAGCTTACCCTTATTTCCTGTTTTGTCCATTTTCCCGTTCGATTTTTCTCTTGCGATGATCGCCTTTTGGGTGTGAGCAGAGGATGTGGAGTGTTCATTGGAGCAGGAGTTGGAAGGCGAGAATCCTGCAGTTAAAATATGACCGTTCGATCATATTACTGTTTTTAGTTTTTGGATTGGACCGTTCGATTAAATTTGTAATCCTGAATTACCGATCGGTTAAGTTTATGGTTTTGAGATTGTGTAGAACTTTGGTAAAGTTTTAAATTTTATGGTTATTTTAAGATAACAATAATCTTATTATAACATTTTTAACTGTCTTACAATATTATTATATGATAACTCTTTTATATGGTTTATATGCTATATATTCTGGGATATTACAAGGGTAACTTATTACAAGGGTAACAATAACAGTGAATATCTTAATAAGTATAAGACGAAAATAAATACTTTTATAAATTAAAATTAGTTTGTGATAAAAAAAAATTCAATATAACTACTAAAAAATAATAGGCTTGTATATAAATTACTTTTAACTGACTTTTTTTTTCTTATTTTTCTATTCTATAAGTATTCTTAAAAAAGTTTCTCCTCATAAATCTCAAAAAAATCTACAGAACGAAGAAAAAAAAAAGTTGCATGACAGCTTTGAAATTCATTATGGAGCCATAAAGAACACATACCATGATACCAACTCAAATTACAGCAAGAAAATACTCATTATTTCCTATTGAATAGTCACATTTGAATAGACTAGAAAGGGAATAACACTCCCTGAGAATCAAAAACTGAATACAGGGAAACAAATCATGCTAATTATTAGGGGAACAAATCATGCTAATTATTGGCAGCAAGTCCTAGGAATTCAAATCAGAAATAATTCCCAAAATTTTGATTCTAACTCTAAACAGATTCTTTGACAAAAACAACAGCCAAAATTTCAGTACATCTATGATATATTAGGTTGGTATAACTAAGAAACAATTCAACTTTTCCTCATTTCTTGTTTTTCTTTCTTCTTTTCACTTGTTTCTCTAAACGATTTAGTCTCTGATTGACATCAGAAGATGTGTTTGTAATATGTTTTGATGGTTCAACAGGCAATGACTTTGGTGCAATTCTTGCTGCTGTAGCTTGTTTCAGGGCTGGAAATATAGAAGAGGGAGATTGTGCACCACTGGTGGCTGCTGCTTCCGGTATTATGGGGATACCCAAAGCTTTCTTTACACCAGGAGCTTTAAGAACTAGAAAACATTAAAAATAAAAAAGATAAATCAAAGGAGTTTATGGGTATTAAAAAATAAAGACTGTACATTTAACAGAAGTTCACTTTATGTTTTGTATCATAAAGTTAAAAATGGAAACCAAGACTTTTGACACAGAATAAGAAACTTAGACAGAGAGAAACAAATTTTTTATATATAAGAAATATAATATATATATATTAGCAAGAAGATATTTTACAGAGAGACCAATGACTTAGATGCAGACTGAATAATGAAGGCAATGCATTCTCAATGCAAACCAACAAAAACACGGAATGCATATTGATTTTGATGTTATGGATCATCATACATACACTTGTATGATAATATTAAATACCAAACTGCTTAGTGCACTATCCATCATCCTAGGCAAATACCATTATTAATCTCGTGTAGGAATCAAATAATTGCTGCACCTCTGAAAAAAAATCCATTTTTTGCTTGTTGAAATGGAAAATGGTGAAAAAAGACAGTAATACTAATATTGCATATGAAAAACTTAAAAATGAAATGCCTTACCGAGTCCATATCCAAGTGAAAACAAATTTGATGTAATCCAGTAACAAAATATAGCCTGTACAGTTATAAAAATACAAAAAGTTAAAACTGTATAGAATGAAAAAACAAAAGTACATAGGCCAATCCACTTTTCCATTCACAATATATATATATATATATATATATATATATATATATATGTATGTATGTATATATGTATATGTATGTATATATGTATGTATATATGTATATGTGTGTATATATGTATATGTGTGTATATATGTATATGTGTGTATATATGTATATGTGTGTATATATGTATATGTGTGTATATATGTATATGTGTGTATATATGTATATGTGTGTATATATATGTATGTGTGTATATATGTATATGTGTGTATATAT